AAAAGACAGAGGGCTCAGTGAAGTTTTAAATATTGTTTAAATGGACCATAACATAGACTTGACAACTGATGATGATTTTATTTTATATTCTTTTGTCTTATGTATATGCCACACCTGATATTGTTATACTATGTTACTGCATTTAACCTTTTACTTTATCTCATAGCCCATACTATATCATAATTTACCCTTTTATACTACGATATTATGTTGATATTTTTTGCATCAACACTCCTGTCACTTTATCTGGTCATTTTTGTGTTGAATGACTTTGATCTATTGTTTTCTGTCTATTTTTATGTTATATCCCTCTTATTATTTATTCAGAAATAGGTTTATTTCAGTGCATGTTTACACATAAAATAAATTAGCATTGCTGTATAAGGGTGTTTACATAAACTAAGTATCAAAACTAGAATATGGCATTGTATCCGAATTGTAGGAAAAGAGCTGTGCACTTTTTCAAAAGAGGTAGATGAATTTGCAAATAAACAGAGATGTGCAAGGTTTACAGTATGAACATGGATACTTGTCCATATTTCAATAATAATGTGATTAATTGTGCAGCTCTTAACAAGGAGTTCTTACATGATGTGCATTCATATGAAGTTAAAGAGTCAGTGGGGGTCCTGGGCCTTATTGATGAAACACTTTAATACACATCTGTTAACAGTCCACATATTTATATATTACATCAGTAGATTCTATTTTACATGTATATAGTTGACCTAGTTCTGCATTTACTTCACATTGTGTCACTTGCAACATTCTCTTGCACTATTTTTGACTTAATGTCTTTAGTACGTGTGACTGTTCAAGGACCCTGGTACGTTAGATTTGTATTGTCAAACTACACTGTATCGATTGTGCATATGACACCCTTTGAATCTTGAATAAGGCCAATAGCTGCCCGGAAGAAAGTGTACATGGTGCGAGGTTTTGGTATAAAAAATCGGTTTAAACTGTTATTTTGAGATAATTTGAAGAATAAGTGTAAATGTGAGCTACATCATTAAAAATATAAATACTGAAAGTCTAACACACTGGAACTGCATCTGCTCTTCGCAGTTTACCACTGGATCGAGATGAGAACGAAGATGCGGATCATGGGTTTTCGGGGGGCCACCATTAAGCCTCTGAACGAGGAGCTGGCTGCAGAGCTGGGCGCGGAGCTGCTGGGTGAGGGGATCATCTTCATCATCGGGACTGGCTGCATGGTGCTGGAGTACAGCAGGCAGGCCGCCAACTCCCGCCACAAAGAAGAGGAGCAGAACGAAACCATCATCAGCCTACAGACTCAGATAGCAGAGCTCGCTATGACCACAGAGACTCTCGACGCTCGGCTCAGAGAGATGAATAGACAACTTGTGTCATTACCTCTTCCCAACCAGAAGTGATTCAATGGGTTATATGCTACAGTATGTGACATGACCCAACATAGTGCACAAACATAGTCCTGCCATGTGTACAGCTTGATATGCCCATGGGTGGAAAGGGTGGATACAAATCAGAGTGCTGTGGATGTGGGTGCTCGAGCTGTAAAAGGAGATTGCTATGATATTCATAGTGTATTCCTGTGGTTGATCGTGCATGTTCATTATTAAGTTGTAAATAAACATTGACAATAAATTGTGATGGCATCCTTGAAATGTAATATATTTTAAAGCAGCTCCAGCAAATCCCTTTCCTCTGAATTCCAGTATTTCAATGACCTTAATCATTTTCATGCTCCATTTGGTGCTTCAATTGTGGGATTATTTGGCATTTTGTGCACTTGATTGAAGGACAAAAACCAAAAAATATATATTGGGCCAATATCGGGATTTCATTGAGAAGGGTGCCTGTTCAGGTTCATGAACATGTGGTGTTGTATTTACGCTATAAATCCATATCATGGTTCATGTATTGGATGTGATGAACACTGTAAAAGGACGGTGTAAAATAAAATGGTTCCCTGTCTGATGAGAGTTTTTGTCGCTTTTGCACAAGCAGAATAATTGGAAACCTTTAATTAAGTACTAGTAACACATTGTTTAAAAAAAACTATGGTGGAGGACCTTTGATGTAAAGGTCCTCCATTGAAAACCCAATTATCAGGAACATGTACATTACATATGGTAATCGAAGTAAAATGCAGAAAATGTTCTGTGACTATACTATTGAAATTTCTGAAGACATTTTTGTAAAAAATAATATCACATATATAATATTCATTTTTAGTTAAAGGTCCCATGTCATGCTTTTCCGGTTATTACCCGTCCCCTTGTGTGTTATGTAGCTTTTTATGCATGTCAGGTCTTCAAAGTCACAAACCCTCAAAGTACACCCTGTAGCGAGTAAAACTCTAACACAGAAAAGACCTGTCGCTGCCCCAGAACGCCTCGTTGGGGATTTCTCTTTTTCCATTGTTTTCTTCCTGGGCACAGTGACGTGCCCATACCGAAATGGACCAATCCTCGGACTTCCTCACACACTCAATCTTTTTTCAGCTGGCGCTCCGCCGATTTCTCCTCCCTGAGACGGCGGGACGTGGCGAGGCTGTGTGTCGGTGTGTGAGCACACACACAAACTCCCAGCCAGGGTGCGGGTGTGTGTGTTCGGGCTGGGTTTCGCTGTGTTTCGCTGTCTCGCAGACGGCCACTGGGCTCATAGGGAGGGGGGGGGGGGCAAGGGCGCTCCAACAGCCGTGTAGGACAGAGTGAATACACATACTATACAGAGATGCTGTATGAGAAACCAATGTGATTTTGGAAAATTGCACAGTATAAATCTATTTTAGAAATGGCCATGACATGGGACCTTTAATGCGGCATCTGAGCTGACTAGCTTTTTCTCAATTAACTAGGCTTGTATAAATTCAGAAAATAGTGACTTATGCAATCACATTACTAAAAGTCTAGACAAAACTGCTTGTTTGTCCAACCAACCATCAAACCTCTCAATCATTAAATAAACATACTTTTTTTTTTTTTAAACCAGCAAATCCCCACATTTTACAATCTTGGAACAGTTTTTTGTATACATCAAACTAAATAACCAATATATTTCTGTCCAAAATCCAGTGGTTCCAAACCTTTTTCCTTGGGTAGTCTTTTTGTAATATATTTAAGTAAACTGACGACCCCTGACTAAGGTAAAGTGAGATTTTACTGATAATTCACAAAAGATAAACTACAGTCAACCCAGACAGGGAATCACAGCAGGGAGTGTGTGTTGAACAAGCAATTTGTATGCATTTTCTGTGAATATTGAATGAGAGATTAGTTTTTGTTCTTTTCTTTTGTTCTTTAGCATTAATGCATACTTAGTATGCTTTTTTTTGGGACACATTTTGTGTTTTATCCTCTCTTGAGGGAAATCCTGAGATATAGGCCAACTGTATTTAAACAGTTACAACCTTTACAAAATAAGTCTTAAAACTGGTAGAGTGAAAAGCACATTGTTTCTCAATGAAGGGGCATAGAACTGGAGTGTGGCAAAATATAAAAATACTCAAGTTAAGCTTTTTTTCCCCCAGGAGAGTACCTGCTCTCAGCAGGCACTAAAAATGGGGGTAAAAATTCCCGGCACTAAATACTCTTTTTGGGTCATTCTACAGAAAAAGTGGAAGTACTTACTTTTGCAGACACCAAAATACATGACGTTGATCTAATACTCACATTCATTATATATGTTGAATAAATAGAGATTGTCTTTGCAATGGTACTAAATAAAAAAATTGTTTTATACATAAATTGCTATTTATTTAGAATGCCAAGTTNAAATTGAAAAATGGTTTTATACATAAATTGCTATTTATTTATAATGCCAAGTTCAAGGAACTGCCTTGTCACTTTGATCATACATGGTGGAGCCTATAGTTTTCATTTAAAAAAATGTGTTTTCAATAAATAAATCTCATTCATATTTACATGACATTACATACATTGATTATAACACTGAAATGGTAACAAAAAACGCAAATTATTAGTAATAATATCCAATAAATGTCAGTCACTCAAAATTACGTCATTGGTGTTACTGCTACACAAAACGCTTTTATTTTTGAAATAATGTACTGTCTCTGAAGTGCTTCCTGTAACAAGAGATCATTTGAGGCAGTGCAGTGGACAAAGACATAAGTAAAGTCAGATACTTCTTACTTTGTTTGTTAAAGGTGTCATTTTATCTTTTCAAATTGTACGTGCGTCTTTCAAGTCTGTCCTTAGTGTTACTCATTGCATAGCCCTAAGGGTGAACATTTGAATGGGAAAATGTATTGTATTGAAGAGTTAAACGATTTTGATATTGACTGAAACCACATTTGGTCTGACACATTGCAGCCATTTTGTTAAAATGGTAGTGTTTTCTCCAAATTGTCACTAGTGTTACTGTCACTGGTGTTACTCTTCTTCTTGGTAACACGTAACACCAGTGACGTTCCTATGTAAATAAGCATTGTATAATGTATACAAATAATAAAAATTATAAAAAATACTTTAAGCTCTACTTGTTGTGGATTCATCTAGTTAAGAGTTAGTTATTGCTATTCAACAGGTTTTTAGATGTGTTTAGAAGGAATATATTTCAGCAGATTTGTATCACCCAGATTCCACCTTTTCTGTAGAATGACCCTTTTGGTGTGAACGCGACATAAGGGGTACTAACGTAACTAAAAGGGGAAAAGTACAGGGGAAAGTATTCCGGTGTGAACGCGCCTATCGTAAACTGCGAATGTATTGGACCTCAGCTGTAGGCCGAAGAGATAACGGCGGGGAGGTTTTGAAACTACACTACCCATAATTTGTTCGCATGTAAACACCGCCTCACTTCCTACTTTGGAGTGTTCCAAGTGTTAGACGAGAACAAACACACAAACTAGTCTGATATGTTGGCTTCCCCTTTTATTTTGGCTGTTTAACTTCAACTCACTTTAACAAAGTTTTATTTAGCAAGCACAACGTGGGCACCTCGTAGGTTAAATAGTAGAAGAATTAACCTTTGAATATGCGCAGGTCTTGTTTACTTCCGGTGGTTGGTTTCGGTCTGGTTTCCGCCCCATAGAGGGCAGCAGCGACACTCCATCTGGTATCACAACTGACCCGCGCAACTCGCATGAGACCAGGTAGGCCTCAACCTTATTTTTATATTATTTTTGCATTACAACCATATTATAAAGTGGGAAAACTATGCATGGACCACCTTACTTGCATTCAAAATAGAAAAACGCGTGCAACTTGCATAGTTTTTAAGTTGTATTAAACATTGCTTGTCTTGCATCGGTTGTCGGTGCGTTAGCGCTAGGCTAAGAAGGTTACCAACATTAGCCACGTAGCGATAACTTGAATCGAATGCTGCAGTAATATGTTTACTTTTCATATACCTATAAAGGTAAGGGTAGTAAAGCTTAAATTACTTAATGGTTTATAGATATTTTTAAACCAGGTACAATGGGTCTGTATATATCCATATCTGCTAGCCTAGCTAACCTGCTAATGTAGCCTGTTTGGCTCAGACACAGTGCCGCCATCATATATTGATTTGAAAGTTGTAAACGGTGTTGTAAGCTCTAGCGTTACTTCAGCTTGTTTTACTGTCTGTTTTTGTTAGTAAACTAATAAAGGAAACACACATCTGACACAATGAGTTTCGACGTGAAGAAACTGAAAGTCAACGAACTGAAAAAGGAGCTCCAGCGCCGCGGCCTGGACAGCAAAGGCCTGAAGGCTGATCTGGTGGAGAGGCTAAAAGCCGCTCTTGAGGCCTCCGAGCCGGGGGAGCAGGAAGAGAACTTCGGCCAGGAGTACCAGGACAACGAAGATGGAGAGGATGTCCCAGAGCAACAAGGTAAGCCCCATGCATGCTGTTTATTTAAAAAATAAATGTTCTGTTCCATCAGACTTTGATTAAAAATTAGATTGAACTTTTTAATTGACAATGTACAGTTACCAAGGCAACGAAATGCATTTTAGAATTTCACCAGAAGTGCACGAAAGTAAAGTGCAGTGTTATGCACTAGTGCTGCACGATTTGAGAAAAAATATATAACAATAACAACAACCAAAAAAAACGGATGTCTCAGTTACGGCATAGGAGTGATAAGAAAAAAAGTTGAATTATTCTCATTTATTATTGAAAACGTTTGTATTATGTGTATAGAATACGTTTTTTACGCCTTTAACAGATATAGTTATTCTGCAATTTGAATACTCCATGCTTACGTATTGTCGTTTTCAATAAAATGTGGATTAATGGTGCAGCACTATAATGCCCAGATCATTATATTAATTAAACTGTCATATGTGAAGTAGATGAATATGCAATTTCCATCAAAGTGCTTTATTTTTCTGTTCTTATGAGCTTGATGATTTTGAATGTTCATTTTTAATGTAGATGAAGATGGAGCTGAGGACTCTGGTGATGTCGATGAGGGTGGGGATGATGATGATGATGATGTTGAAGGTGAAGTCGACAGTGAAGGGGCCGCCGATGTTGTAGCAGACACCAAAGAGGATGGCGATGTTGTAGCAGGCGCCGAAGAGGATGGCGATGTTGTAGCAAATGCCGAAGGGGATGGCGATGTTGTAGCAGAGGCCAAAGGGGTTGGTGATGTTGTAGCAGACGCCGAAGGAGACAGTGATGGGGATGTTGAAGGCGAAGCTGGGGCCCCCCAAGAAGAAGATGAGGGTCGGGATTCAGGTGGTTACTACGAAGATGAAGAGGCAGAAGGCGAGCCTTTTGAAAGCCAGCCGACTTCAGACTCCTGTCAGCATGCCTGACTTCACAGCAGATGTCGAGTTACACAAATCTGACGCGGTGCCTGAGGAAGAAGCCAAGCCTGTGGCCGAGCCAGAGGAGAAAGTGGAGAACAAACCAGGTGATTTTCCATCACCTACATGATAATGAATGATGTGTTGTAATGTGATTTTGCCCTAGTTATGGGCAAGAACTGATATGGAATATGAAAGGGGATGAGTCAAAATGTCGTATTTCAATGGAATGCTGTAGCTCCTTTTTATTAATAGTTTGGGGCACTGACCACATTAAAACATAGTTAGCACAAGTGTTTAGTTCGGCCTAAGTTACAGGCACCAGGGAAACAGAATGTAAGCATATCTTTAAAACATCTCCAAATATGGTTTATTGCAAAGCTGTTATCTTAACTAATATTAGTGGTACATTTGTAATACTGACTCTAGTTCACTGTTCATGTATTATTTCAGAAGTCGAAGTGAAGATGGAAGATGAACCCGAGGCTGCTGGGAACACAGAGCAGGAAAGTCAGAGGACAGAGCATCAGGACGGAGCCGTTCAGGGAGAGCAAATCAAAGTGGAATCTGATAAAGCCGGAAACAACAGTCGCAAGAGACCGCACGAGGAGAGCCGGGGCTACAACTACTACGAGCATCGTGAGGAAAAGAGGTATGCTCACACCAACACTATGTTATTAAACCAGCAGTTGATTGGTGTGGGTGGGAATGTTGTGGTTGAAAGTGTCCGTCAACGTCATACTCTCCTGATATTGTACAGATCCCGCACACCCCAGCCCCCTGCGGAAGACGAAGAGGAGAATATAGACGACACTCTGGTTACAATTGATACGTGTGAGTAAGAGGATAATGCACATCTCTTCACAGTGATAACAATGATAACTTTTGAGAAATGTAGTCAAGGCCATTCAGTATGTAATGTTCCATATAATAGTAATATTTGCATTAACCCAAGGTCTGCAGTGCTGCTTGTCATGAGTTGGAATATTATAGCACACTATTGAGAGTTGATCACCCAAAAAGTAGCTTTTTAAATATATTTTTCTGTATAAATCAAATCAAAACTCACCTTCTCCTGGCTACTTATAATGTTTTTTTTATTATTATTTTAGGTGGTTTTTTTTTTAAATGATTTTATATATGACTTTTTTTTCAAAGTTGGTATATACCAAACACTAAGGAGTCTCCTGAAAAATGGATTATGAGGATTAGGGTTGCAAAATTCCGGGAATTTTCTAAGATGGAAACTTATGGGAATAAACTGGGTATTTTCAAAATTAAAGGTTGGCTCTTCATAGGGAACTTAAACATAGTTGGGGAAAGTATATTTTTGCATAATCTTGACTAAAACAAACAGATGCCATTTAAAGTACACTTGAATACCCATGCCATAGCACACTTGTTTGTAGTCTTTATTTAACAAGGTGAAAGCCCCTTGAGATCAAAAGATCTCTTTTTCAAGGGTGACCTGCAGGACATTAGTTATACATGTAACATAAAAACAACAGAACAACAATAAGGATGACATACAACATAATGTACAGGGTACAGTTTACAAACTCTATTTACAGTGACAGGTACCATGGGTATCAAACAGCATGTCACCCAAACACTGCTTACTGCATGGCTATTGAGACCACACACCCTACAGGCACTGTGCATTCCTCCATCATATAGACACAGATGACGTATTGTTTAACCCAACATTCCTGTTTTCGTTCTTCAATGAAACAAATAATTGTTCAATAAAATAATTAAAACTTGTTCTGTTCTACTTTAAAAAAAAAGATCTGTTGAAATGTCATGTTTTTTGTGTCGAATATTTCCAAAATTCCCCAGCTTAACTTCCCATGGAAACTTTCCGCCCCTTTGCAACCCTAATGAAGAGGCACTGATTTGATCATACAAGTGCTTTTACTGTAACAAATGACACATTATCTACTTTCTTAAAACCTTTTCAGACAATGTCGCTGAATGTTTTGCAGGCATGTGTTGGATCTGTACTAATGGACCCAAAAAAAAATTCTGCTCTTTTCAGACAACTGTGACCTGCATTTCAAAGTGTCCAGAGATCGCTACAGTGGTTACCCTCTGACCATCGAAGGCTTTGCTTACCTGTGGGCCGGAGCACGAGCCTCACACGGCATCACCAAGGGCCGCGTGTGTTATGAGATGAAGGTACTACATTAAAGGTTTTTTAACTCTAAACAAGTGTGCTTACAACCATCAGGTGGCGCTGTTCACGTTTCATCAGGTGACCCTGGTTCTTGACCATATGTGACCCGCTCTATCGAAATCAGTCGGAAGTCACAAGGGCTAATTTCAAAATAAACGTGGATTTGAGTAAAATATATAATATGAAACTTTATAAAATCACACGATAAATACATTTTTGAAGCTTGTAAAGGGAAGAAGACAGCTCTCACTCGCCACTCTGCTCTTCCTCAGCACCTCCCTCCGGCTGAAATTATGAATGTAAGGCGTATAGTAATCATAGATAACACGGCAGGGTCCGTTAC